TTAACAGTATGTAATAGTTTCATACTTAAAGTATTTTCAGAAGTTTAAATTCTGAATATGACCGGATTTTTCCTTTAAAAATATGTACATATACATGTTTTAGAAGCATTATGTATTTTTATGTATTTGAGATTGTATTTTTACATCTATATGCTGCCATTTTAATCTTACTGAATACAGTTCTACAATGGCATTGCTTAAAGTACTCTTAACATGCAAGCATTTCTTGTGGTATGCTTTCAAAAGTGATTAAATGCTTGAAGGGGAAGCTGCTGGGTAAATGTAATTTGCATGGAAATCTCATTGTTACACAGTGCATAATATTCAAATTTCCTTGGCAATAAATTTTTCTGTAGACTACATACAAAATGCTTGGGTATTTCCACAATAAAAATTCAGTCTATCCAGATTTGTTCTTGTAAATGAGTAGGTTATGTGCAGGCAATGTTGGATGGGCTTCAGAACACCCACAGCCAGGGTTTCCTCTGCAATCCTTCATATTGTGATTGTGGTATGAATTTGCGCTGTGGTAAAACCTGACTGCAAATAATACACTCAGCTCGGTACCTCTTTCACTTTCAATCAGTTCATCTGCTGCTTCACTGCAGGGAATGACTTCAGTTCCACTCTTCAGTTTATCAGAGGATTTTTGCACCTGAAGCTGAGTAATTCAATCAGATTTCCCTCATCTCTTCTGTAATTTTGTGCCATTAATATTGCAGCTGTGTCTGAACAAACAACATTGCAAATGGGGATCCCTTGCAATGTACCATCTCTGTGTTCACACAGATTTTTTGAAGATATTTTCTCTCCGTGATTCAGGTATGCATTAAGATTAAAGCTAATTTGTTTAAACCTGATGTTGATCCTTTTAAAAAACATACAAGCAGTGTGACCAGAAAGATCCTCTTATTACCAATTTACGAAGGAGAGATAAGACTCCTAATTACAGTGTCATTGGTTAAACACTCTCAGTAGAGAAAAATTAAATCTCCTAATCCTGGACACCAATTATTTACTTTCAAAGATTCAGAAAATGCAATCCTTTCTTTTTTGACCAGCCATCCAAACTAGGAATGACAAATACTTTAAAAGAGTCTTGTTACCATATTCTTTATTTTTCAAAGTGGACTCCCTGCTAGTTTTAATCATCTTACTGTCTTATCCACAATGGATTTTCTTCCCTCAACAAGATGCGCTTCACAAGAAAAGGTGTGAAAAGGATTGGTTGCCTCTTTTGTATGTGATTAATTTGCACCTAACACAAAGAAAGGCACCTTACAATTTGAAGGTTATCTCCTTGGCATTTAAAGATCCAGATGAAAAAGGCGTCACTAACAACATATGTGATTTATCTTGACCAACAAACACTGTTGTTTCTAAGCTTTAAAGGATTCAATATTTGTATTCAAACAAAATATATTTTGAGGTGTTTAAGCACTCAGGCAAAGAAATTGTTAATATCCAATATGTATCAAGTTGTTGTTCTCCTTAAACTCACATAAATGCATACAATTGATCCACTTATTGCACTTGTTTAGCCACATGTCATCATTCAGCTGCTTGTTGTCTAGGTGGTGTCCTGAAAACAATGTGGGTTTTTTGGGAAAAAACTTTTCAGCTTTTCTTAATCTGGCCAAATGGCCTCTCTTACATATCAGCAAGTTCTCCTACTTGAGCTGCAGATCTCTAAAGTTTCTCCTTAGTTATCATAGGCTACTTTATGCACCCCTTCTAGTTCGAGCGAGTTCGACTGTCATGTCATGGATGCAGTTTGCATTTGTGCTCTGCTACCTTCGTTTTCAGATGATTGATTTAAAACTGGTCTGTTATATTTTAATGTTTGGGATTCTGTGTTATACCAGTTTTCTGAATGTTTCCACAACTTGATGTCTGCTCTTACCCTTGGTCTCCTTGATGCTGTTTGCTCAGTGATGTTTTTGAACAACCCTCTGAGAAGCTTCACAGAACAAATGGATTTATAGTAAGATTAGATGACACTTAGGCACTGTCTATTTACCCATAATGTGTCTTCTGTTTAAGGTACAATGAGTATGAATATATCTGCATGGAAATGCAGATGTAAACGAAAAAAGGCATCCAAAGAACAAATAAATGGAACCAAAATCATCAAAAATCACAAATGAAAATGGCTGAGATTGCTGGAAGGTTGCTTGGAAACAAGAAAAAAGAAACTAAGTCGGATTTGTAGTTTTTAAATCCAACAAACAACAATTTAAATCCATTTCTTTACAAAATATAGAGTGTCCTGCATTGTTTAGCTTCCTATATTTGATTAATTCTGTTTAATGCCTTTATCCAGAACCAACTTATATAAAACTAGAAATGTGACTCCAGAAACAGCACAGTCACAATGTACATGTTTAGGCATTTAAGGGTGTATACCACCTACTGCGTCAAAATCATCACATTTCTTGGCGATATCTCTGTGCAAACATTTTATGTAAGGCAAGCCAACCTGGAAGTGCACCGGTCCTGATCCACAATTCAAGGAATATCAGTCTGAGTCAGGCAAAGCAACAGAGAGGCTGCTGAGGTGAATAATCCAGGGCTTTGAGGAAAAATCACACACCATAGCTCCTGTATATTTTATTAGTGTTACACTGAAAGTGACATCATGTAGATGTGACCTCCTAACTAGATAGAAAAATGCTCAGTTTTAAAGAAATAGAGTAAAATTCGGAATGTAGTTGATAATGGATTAGATTCAGCGGCATTACATAAATAAGATAAGGAGCAGAGAGAAAATATGTTTATGCCAAGATACGGTGCGACTTATAAATCACCAGCATTTCTGATGTATAGTCAGGAGAAACGGCAATGCTGATTATAATAATCCAGAAGATTTAAGACTGGTCACGGGGCTTTGCAAATCTATTTAGTTGTTTATTCATTAACTGAGCTGTTATTTCCCCTAGTTTCCAATTTCGGCTGTAAACCCTTTTAGGGGAAATATCTTACTCTTTACTCCATAGATAAAGCCATTGCCGAGTTGGAGTGTGCTAAAAGACTGTCACACCCTAGGTACACAAAGGAGTGCTAGTGCAGATCCTTTTTCCCAGCTGTAGTTAGGTTGTATAACCTTCACTGCTCCCAACAGACCCAATAAGCATGTGCTACCATTTTGTTAGTTGCACAGTTTATCTGCTCAATATGTGCTTTTGTATATCAGCCCCTTATCTGCCCAGATGCTCATGACTATCTGCACAGTTTTATACCCTAGAGTTGTTTTCTACATCCTGCTTGTTTATTTTTTTTAATTTATTTTGTAAACTGGTTGCATTTTGTTTCATTTCTATCTGAGCATGCACTCTTCTAGATATCCAGTTGTTTTTCTTTCTGTGAGGTGTTTTTCTCTTTTGATGTTTTAATTTTGAAAAAAGTTGTTCTTTTACAATTTAGTCTTGGGTTTACATGTACACTTTCTTCTGTCTACTTGCTTTGCTAGTAAATCACCAATATTTCCTAACCTTGCATGGTACAAAGAGCGCATTTTATTCTCTTCCAAATCCTATTGAAAATGCATACTTTACTTTAAAGCCAGGTCAAAACCAACTAATTTTACTGAACACTATAATTTCTCTTACAAGAACAATCTCTAGAGTGGTCTCTGCAGTGTTTTTTTTTTTTTTTTAAATTAGATTAGATTCAAATTTATTGTCATTACAAAGGTACAAGGCAACGAAATGCAAAAGTGTTGTGTCATTGGACCTCCTTAAACAATACAAATATCCTTCAAAGGTTCAAAGGGACTAGGAATGTATCATAACTGCATTATTAAGAAGACAGGTGCTGACTGACTAAATCTAACTGACTGTCCGTTCTGTTTTCATGCATCTTCTTAACAGGATGTAAAACAGAGTGGGATGAAATTGGCTGTTGGCTGAGAGCCAAAGTTGGGCAAGTTGTCAACTTATCCTGCTCTGAGGTCTTTCAGCATTTCTCCAGCAATCAAGGTTGGTTTGCAAAACGCATCAGACGTTAAAGCTCATCAAAACGTAAATAAATTAAACACTAGTACTCACTTTCTAATCAGCACACTTTTTTAGATGCAGAATAACATGTTTAAATCCCCTTCTTGTGCACAGCCTATTTCCTGCTAAGGTTAATTATCTATATCATAATCAAAGTGCTAATGCAAACTGAAGACAGTGATGGAAAAACCCAGGATGAATTATTCATGTATGTTTTTTGGCATGAATGTAGATTGCATTGGGATGTGTCTGGCAGGAGGAGTTCTTAATACTATGTGCCAGCTTTCATGACATGACAAAGTAATTGGCCTTTTAAATCTGTTCTTAAGGGAAAAAAAACATGACATTATACAATTATTATAGGGTAAAAAGTGCTCTATTTTTATACATCAAATGATCAGCTAAACTTAAAGCTATAGTTTTTTAACAAACATGTTCGTATTTACAATGATTTAAAGTTGAGAATGGTTGGTGATTATCAAAACATGATGCACATTTTTAGATATTAAAATGTTGCGCTTGCAGTATATATGGTAATATAATATCAATATGGTAATTTCATTAGATTAACTAATTCCTAACACCTTTATGTTCTCATTTTCCATCAATGACACTAAATTGCAGATCACCCAGACACATATGCATTTTACAGTATTTCGACTCATTTTGGTTTATTATTACAGAGAAAAAAATAAGAAAATAATCCACTTGCCATGATTCTTTTATTTGTCTGGAAAAAAATGCATACGCTAACCTAACCTGCCTTCACTTACTACTGTATGTCCAAGAACATACATGTTGATAACCAGTCCCAAAGCTGACAACATTTCTCTAAAAACCCTTATTTCCAAAATAGATGCTAAGATGGAGTCAGAGTACTTGAACAGACATGAAAGCATCAAATGGTCTCTGCCTTGCATCACCAATGAAGAAAAATGTTCCAAAAGCAGGAATGACATTGCTATAATCCACTTTGTACAGAGGAATGATGGCTTTGAGTTAATTTACCGCCATTACAGCATTCAAAATTGGTTACTGCATTAAAAAAAAAGCCCTGTAAAAACTGCAGCCTGTGGCAATCGCAAATCTGTGAAATAATTTGAGAAAAACAGCATATTTATTCAAGTACAAATATATTTATATTTGAACGATTGTGATTCTAAGGTCAACATTTTTTTAGTTTGGTTTTCTGTCTTCTGAGTGCTGAAAACACAGCGGAAATTGTGTAAAAGAGTGTGTATAATGTCAAGCATCCTATTGTTTTAAGAACAATGTTAAATCTCTGATAATTTAAACAACCGCCTGATTTAACTCAATTGGTTCGATCCTGATCAATATGTATGTAGCATAATAAACCCACAGAAAATTCCTTCAACTATTATGTCCTTGTCTTTCCTCTGTTTACATAGTCCCTTAGCAAGACACTATGATAGAATAACATTTACGGTACTTTGAAAAAACTATACCTACATTATGACAACAAAAATGCATGGAACCATCCTTCTTTCCTTGAAACAACGGTTCTGTCTATTATCCGTATTGTGGTAGAGTAGGGATTATTTTGTTGTTCCAGACAAATACTCCATACCAATTAAGCTTTGTGTAAACACAACAGCCTACTTGGGTATTTTGCTAACAATGTCCACCCCTTCAAAAGCACTGTGTCTTTATCTTTTGATAACCATTTTCAGCAGCCTATTGCACAATGTCATTATCTCAGGTGGCCTCCCCAGTTGATAGATGTTATTCCAAAATAACACTTTTTGGATGTAGCCATGGGGGATTTGCACAATGGTTGTGCAGCAGATAAATCTGCAGCAATAATATGATTTACATCTGACAATATTAATCAATTTTTTTTTTTGATGGATGGATGACTTCTGTGACCTTTTAATGCAATGCTTTATGATCAAACTAAATTGGAATTAATTAGATTGATCAAAGTTTTATTTTAATAGCCCTGGATTTTTTTTTATATTTAGATGTGAATAGTTATATATTTATTTTAAAAGTTCCTAAAGAAGTTCTATATTAATACAATAAATGGAACTTAAATTGAGTAATTACAAAGGCATGCTTAATGAAGATGTTGGAGTTTGTTGCACTACTTCTCTGAAAAATGCAAAACTAACTTGGATGTCAAGAACCTAATCTTATTATCCAAACTGTTGGATACATGTATACAGAACAGCATATCTTGCAAAAGAGAAAATCGACTTTTTTTTTTTTTTAGATTTTTTTTAGATATGCTTAAACATCAGCAGGTGTTATAGCTGAAAAGAACAAATAGCCTTTAACTGTGGATCGTTATCGTCATATAATCATATTGATATTTTTATTGAGACACATGTTCAAATGAACATTTATTATACGCACATGTGGAAACAATATAACATAAGTAGGTGGAATGATGCAACATGACATTGCCCAAATACTTTTTGTTATGAATGAAATGAGGACTGGAAATAAGGTTTTAATGAAAAATGTCAGAATTTTTCTGTATATATTTGAAAAATAATGCAGAGGTTTTTACCCCCCGTTTTTTCTTCACATTCCTGTCTGCTCTCTTGTCAGGGTTTGTATACAGGAATTGCACTGCTGATGGCTGGTCTGAAATGTATCCAACTTATGAGGATGCCTGTCATTTCAATGACGACAGTGAGCCTGAATCAGAGGTACACACTTTGTTGTCATCAGACTTCCTCAATCCTCACCTTTTTAGCTCAACCTTCTTCTATAAACTTAATTCTAAAGGAGGATTTTTTTTCCCATCTGCAGTATGTTCTTTTTAAAGGACACTTACACATCTGTCAAATGTGTGTAAATATCTTACTAGAACCTTTTATCAGTTTTGCCCTGTTTTGCTTTCTGCTTCCAGACAAGTTACCTGTATACGTTCAGACAGGTCTACACTGTAGGGTACGCCACCTCACTCATCTCTCTACTTACAGCCATAGTGGTGTTTGCAGGCTTCAGGTAAGGGCAGATACAGATATACAGCAACCAAGTAACATAACATTTGTAGGAACCAAATTTATCTTCAAATGCACTTAATGTCTAAAATGTAATTTTTTTGGTTTTAGAACAGCAGGGCTCTGGTTTTTTTTTTACATTGAGAGCAATATAAAAATACTGTATATAAAGCTTTGAATAGTTTTATTGTTTCTCTCATCTGCCTATATTTATTTACCGCCAACCTGTCAGTGTATTCAGGCATTATAATTTGCATAGATAGTACAAGAAACTGCTTTGTATGTGACACTGTGTTGTATTATACAGGAAGTTTCGCTGTACCAGAAACTACATCCACATCAACCTGTTTTCCTCCTTTGTTCTGAGAGCTAGTGCTGTGTTCATTAAGGATGCTGTGCTGTTTGCAGATGAAACTCTGGACCACTGCTCTATGTCTACGGTAAGCCTGCTAATTACTCAATGATTCCCTCCCCCCCAAAAATTTTTTAAATGCAAATAATAATAAAAAAAGATTTTTCAATTTACCTCAGAAAGACAAATTAATCCTAAATTGATTCTCGTAGCCAGGTCACCCATCCCCTGCAGAGGCCTTAGCAGATCATGAGTAACCAGCTGATCCTTAATCTCATCATCTAAGCCTTGTATAAACGCATCCATCAGAGCCTCTTCATTCCAATTACTGTCTGCTGCATGTAGTTGAAAATCAATTATATAGTTGGTTGCAGCATGCTCATTCGTTCTGTTGGTGAATAACCTCATAAACGCCTCTTAACCCGGTGGGATGGCATCAAACACATAAATTTGTTTTTTGGCGAAAGCATCTTAAGAATAACAGATCCCTGTATTTCTTTGACATTGAGCGGCCCCCATTTATTGGCTTTATCAGACAGTAATGATGTAATGAAAGCTACCTTGAAAGGTTTTGAGGGAAAGGAGAAATGTTGCATATCAAAATGGATCTTACACTAGATAAGGAAGAAACCACACTGATCAGGTTCTTTCCTTAAACACCTCAAGAGATATTAGTTGAGGTTCTATGTTATGGACCGTAGAGGAGAAAGGTGGGTTAACTAAGGGAGAAGCAGAGTTGGTCTTACTGACAGGAGAGATAGTGATTCTATAACCTGAAAAAAGCATTTCTAAACACTGCCACAGCCAAGTGCATGGACAGACTCTGGAGACACAATGATTTAGCCAACACATGAGGTAGGTTCAACGAGTTTATTTAAAAGTAAATTAGTCTTTTAGGAACAGGAACTGACTAGAACTGGAATAACAGTTGGAAGGAGAACAGGGTTATTGGCTGAGAACACCTTAGTGGTGTTGAAGGTGTACTGAAGGAAAGCAAATAAGCTTCTCAAAAACTGGGAGGCTTCGCTGGCTCTAATGACTGATCCCAGTGGCTTCGTTTGGATCAAATATTGATCTAATTTTGATGGTGCTATACTGGGCTGAGGCTCAGTCATGGTCATGGTCACTCAGGCGGGTCATGCATAGAGAAGCAGTCCACGTGGCATTGGTTTCTAGAAGGACTAAACGAGCTGGAAATCTGGAATCCAGGTGAAAGAATCAGTAACAGGGACAGTAACCAGACAGATTAGAGAGACAGAGGGAGGAGACAGAGCTTTGGTCATACACGACTGACATAAGAATCCAGACAGAGGCAAACTGACTTGGTTGTAAGGGAAGCCAGGAAGTCAAGATCTGGAGATCAGAAGGCATCAGGTATGCACAAAAAGGGTAAGGCAGGAGAAAACAGGAACAGCTCAAGATCAGAAGTTCAAAATAAGGATTGCGGGTGGTTCTACTCACAGTAGCAGCTTTCAATAATCTAACGGTTACACACTGAGAGAGCCTGGATTATTTATTTTTTTTATTATTATTTTTTTTTACAGTGTCCTGTCTGGCAAGGTGGCAATAAGAATAATTGTCTTGATGCCAAAAGGAGCCCAACAGATTTTACTTTCACAAGTGTAGCGGTATGGCAATTGCCATATAGCTCCACTTGTTTCATGCATATAAATTGCNAAGCCCCCCAGCCACCGCCATGCCGGCGCCCCGAGGAGCCGCGGGGACGAGTCCGCGGGCCCCGCCGGCAGCCGGCCACCCTGAAGTAGGGCCGAACACCGGCCCCCCCACGGCACCGACCGAAACGGCCCAGCCCCACAGAGCACCGAAACACGCCCCGGCACCAAGCCCCGGCGACCGGCCGCAACACCCACCGCGACCGCACCACCCAGGAAAAACACACTGCCACTGCCGGGGCCCACGCGCATCCGCCGCGAACCGGCCGCGAGCGCCCGCGGGACCCCCCCAAAACGCCCCCGCAGCCAAAAGCGCAGCCCCACCCCATCAAGACCGACGCCAACAGCGCGCAACGCAACACACCGCGCACAGAATCAACCCAAGAGCAGAAAAGCCGCCCGGCGCAAAACCGCAAGAAGAGCGCCTGGATAATATAGTGTTCCTCCCAGCAGCTCCCATAAAATTAGGTGGTAGTAGGTTTTCCAAGCAGTTCCTCAAGCTGCATTGATTTTCCATGTATAAAGGAAGAGTATGCAGTACCTAGTCTAAGCTCAAAAATACTGCCAAGTTTTAGTATGAAAGCTGCACACTCTTTTATACATAAGGTCCCTTTGGTCTTTTTTTTCATAAAACACTGCATGAGATTTATACTTAAAGTGTATGCCAAAGACCTGAAAATGGAGTATGCAAAAAAAAAAATCCTTATTGATAAAACCATGTGAATAGACAAAACCAAATGATTTTACTCCATAGATGCCAGCTGGAGTGTGCGTCCAAGTTTCCGCCCCATCTTGATCCATTCCAAAATCAATTCTGATAACTAAAATGTTCTTTTATGGTTGGTGATGTGATTCAAAATAAAGAAATCAGTCTATATCTGTGATCTCATTATTTAATACTCCCATCCTTGTCAACAGCACAGTCCATAAAGGGCAACATATTATTCTTGATATCCTCTTTGGTGAGCCTGATGTTTTTATCCTCTGAATTGATGTGATTGGGGAATGTCTCAACTTTTTGGGTCTGCAAAATGTGTTGCATTTTTGTCTTGAAAATATATTGTGCCCCTAAACAATTTGTGCCTAAAGAAGTTATTCTGGTGATTACTTGTGGTAAAGATCCCACTGAAATTAAACAGAAATAAAGACTCTGGATAGAGAAGAGTTTTTCTCTACCACTTAAAGATTGATGCTCTTATCTTTGTGTCTTTATCCCTCAGGCTACGTGTAAGTCAGCAGTAGCGTTTTTCCAGTTCAGCATCCTGGCCAATTACTTTTGGTTGCTGGTGGAGGGCATGTATCTCCAGACCCTTCTGGCCCTCACTTTCGTCTCTCAGAGAAAATACTTCTGGTGGTACATTCTTATTGGATGGGGTGAGTAAAAAAGTCAGGAGTCAAAGTAGATAGAAACTCGTCACTGACTTAGGGTTAAACTGCAGAAATGGGATAATGGTGTATTCCTACAAGTGCCATAGAGTTATTTTTTTTGACTAAAAAAACATACTAATAACTTGTAACTGTTTATCTGCTTTTACATTACATCAATGGGCTGTAAAATTAAAATTGCAGTAAGCTTAATATATGTGAACTTTCAATGAATCAAAAGAATTACATAGAACACTATTGGTATTGTTGTTTTCAGTTTAACCTTATTAAGAATTTGATACAATAAAAAAATGGATTCCCTTCTCAATGGTCAGTTGAAAAACCTTTAGTAGCATTATGGGTACTAAATGCGTTTTATAATAATTGACCAACTTCTTCAATTTCTTTAGTATACTTTGATAATTTACACTTGTGATTAGGTAAGTTTACAAATAGCAATTCTTCATTAAACGAAGAACAGTATGGAGGATCTTGATGATCCCTTCTCACAGTATGTACAACAAAAAAGTTTCCGAGAACCACTGTAAGTCAGACCACCAGAGGAGATCCTTGCTACCTAAAGCTATCAGCCACTGCAACAACTTGTTGAAGAAACCCTTTGTAAGAGTTTTAACGATTAAATTCAGTTCATTTATATGGCACCAATTTACAACACATTTTATCTAAAGGCACTTTATAGAGACAGATCATACATTCAGATTTGTTCAGTTTTCTATCTGAGGAAAACCAAATGATTCCATTGACTCAACAACTCAACAGCAATCCATCAATCCAAGCATGCATGAATTAAGTATTTTGGATTTAAATGAACTTGATGAGCTGTTAGTCTATCGGGTTTGAAGGCCTGTTTTCCATCGCCTCAATCTGTCATTCCCTGCATAAATTCATTGAGATTCTGGGCATGACTTTGGACGGATGGCCCACAAATGTAAATAAACCAGGCCAGGAGAGCCACTAATGTTGGGCTATATACAGTACTAATCAGCATTTCTTAGAATTTGTGTAGAGTTATCTAGTTAAGGTTTGATCAGCTTAAGTTAGAGGTCAGCAATCTTTACAATGAAGACAGCCATTTTTTACCCAAGTTCAGCTAGAGGAAATTTCCTCAAGGTGCACAACCCTATATATTTTATCAATTTATTTATAGCAAAGGTTTTGTAAAACCTTCTTTTTTATGGTTAAATTAAAAGACTAACATTCCATTATGCGTTTTTTATTTTCTATTACTATTTAAAAAAAAAACTGTAAACCTGTAACGATGACATTCATAAATTTTAATTTTTTAAATATAGCCATTCTTTTATGAAAATTTGCTCACGTCAAGAAACCTGGCATATAAAAAATCGGCGTTGTTTCTTACCCATACTTTATCCTTGGCTCAGTTGTTTTTGTTGATATTTTAAGAGCCATTTTTGAGCCATTTTAGAATCACATTTTCATAGCCAGGAGAATGTTGAGTTCTTTCCTTAGCACCATTAAGGTTCATTTGGATGGTTTGGATAAGTGCTTTTCGTGTTTTGAAAAGATACAAACATATTTTTGTGCTACATAAAATAAATATACAACTATTAAGATACGAAAAATAAATAAGAAAGTTCAGCTTTTTAAATTGAGTTAGCACACAGTTCTATCTGGTAATCTATTTTGAGACAACAATCAGTCTCCCTGCTGACAGGATGCTCTCACTGTGGCTTTGATTGCAGCTACAATTTCACCTCTTGTTTAAAATTTTTCTTCCGTTTCTTTGAGCATTTCCTATTGATTCATAAGAGGTTTCTGATTTTAGCATATAATCACCAACAAAACAGCATCCACTGTCTTGTATTCTATTCTCTCCATTAGGTATTCATACCTTGTTCTATTTAGCTATTTCAAGCCAGTGTTCCCAAAATTTCAAGTCCCATTTGCCTCATTTGTTCTGCCACTGATGTTGCAGTATTACTTGGCCTCACTGAGCAGAGTGGACATCTACTGACAGATTATTCTAGGACTGAATTTGAGAAAAGGCATTTTTTTCTTTTTATTGAAAAGAAACAGTAAACCAGAAATTACAGCAAGCAAAAGGTCACTGTGACGCTGGAAATTTTGTCCTTGTAATGTAAGAAGTAACAAGTACGAATATGTTCAGCCAGAGCTGCTTATAAACACCTACATGGGTTTGGGGCATTCATATCAGGGATTTACCTGGAAGCTGTGGCTAGGTGTGATTAAGTGCAGGAGAAATCAGACCCTTGGAACTGTGCATACCCTGTGTCAGTCTAATCAGAGGTTAGTCAGGTTCTTGAAATCAGGGTGACACAATGCCTCTAACTAAGAAGGTTTTGTAAGCAGCTTTAGTAAAATTGTTTAGAAAATTCACCATGCCATGGCATTTCATAAACAAGCCACTGTCTGCAAGACATGAAGATTTGAGTTTAGGAAAACTACTCACCTGCTGTGACGGGAGATAGGGAAGAAATGCATTGTGCCTCTGTTCATCAAACCGTGTTGGGGATTAAATGAATTTCCTTCAACCATGTCAGTGAAGGCTTAGAAAATAAATCATTCAGAGTGTTCTCCTCTATTAGTTTTAGTGAGCCCTTGGGGCATATTTCTGAACTATATTTAGATCAAAAGTTTCAAATATACAGTGCACTGTATGTTTGAACTTGTGCACTGTGCGACTTGGTACAGTTTATAGTTGTACAATGGAACTTTACCTCTTTACACCTGCACCATTGTGGCCAGGACCTACTATTCCACGTGTTTCCTATATCTCCCGCATTGCTTGTTCAATACTTTAAACAGGACTTCTTCAATGGCTTTTAAGTTGCTAGTGTTCCACAAAGACAAATGGAGTGCACTGCCAATACCTATACAGATCATACAACCTCATCTATGGAGTTTAGCAGCTCCCTCAGAGTTAAACAACCCCAGAGCTTCATCCCTAACATGTATTCTTTGATCATCATAAAGCTGTTGGTTCACTAATGGTTTCCAACAAACCCCTGATACCTTCACAGACCTGCTAGGTTTAGGCTAATATTTAAATATATGACCATTGGAGTCTATTTTTTAATTATGTGGCTTCTGAAAGCAATTGATTGCAGTGGATTTCATTTAACTAGGGTGCAGTATATGCCATGCTTTTCAGATTTTGTATCTTTAAAATATCTTGAATAAATAATTAATATTCTACCTTCCATTTAATAATTATGTTACTTTTTTTTGTTAGTACTATAAAATCACCATTTAACGAATTAAAGCATTTAATCAACAGTATGTAGACTTATGGGTATAACTAACCAATGCCACTTTTTCCTAGTTTGTAAACAAAGTCTGTCCAATACAGAAAGTTATGTTTTGTAGAATATATGTAAAAAATAGATATCTGCTTTAAAATCAGCTGTTAAAGTTCAGATGAAGATGCATTTGTGTTAACATCCAGTTTTGCATTCTACTTCCATCATTTCACTTGGTTTTATGACTGCTTTGGATGTCTATTAAGGGAGTATATGCGAGTAGACCTACAACCTATGAATGGCAACAAATGCTTACTCACCTATCGTCCTTGTGTCCTGCTCTGATGCTCCTCAGACTTGGATTGCCCCTCTTGGCCATCTGAGAGAACCACAGACTATTTCCACTTTTATAAAAGGACAAAATTTGTTTTATTTCTTTTTAGCAGAACCTATGAGTTAAATGTTTTTGCCCAGTATCGTTTTTCACATGTTTAAATATACATGGATGCTTTTAGCTTACTTTGATGATCTTACCTGTAGGACTTAAGGTTTTTCTTAAACCACAAACAGGCTTAATTTTAAAGACTACCAGACTTTCGCTCAGTTTCTTGAAGACATTTCTTCACCTAGCCAGGCTTCTTTGTCAATTCTGTTTGCTTGCACCGGAGCAATCTTTAGTTGGAGCAGCATGGAAGTCCATCCTTCTAAGCACATTCCAAACATTCCTTTTTTTCTCCATGGGCTCCCAGTTTTGCCCACTGTTGCCAATATCTATATGGAGGAGGTGGAGGTGAAAGTTAGCGCATACAAGGGAACACAACCAGCTCACTGTCATCACTGGACAAGTTGCCCTTTTCTGGACTGTGCTGTGCACATTGAGGACAATAGAATGGATAGACCTGGCTGACAATATTCTCTCAATTATAGAGGGAAACATGAACACAAACACTTTAGGAAATCACTTGATTCATGTGGTTATCCCAACTAGTTGGCTTTTTAAATTGGCTAAAACAACAACTGTAGCAGGAAAACAGCACTGCTTGCAACACAGTGGAGAAAAAAGAGATGCAAAAACACTGTAATTCAATATGTTTCAGGAATTTAGAGAAACTAGGAAGGATTTTTTAGTAAAAACAAAATATACCTGAACACCCAAAGCCTCCTATGTTAGAGAAACAAAAAAAAAATTTAAACAAACACTTGGAGCAGCATAAAAGAGGCAGTAACTATGGGCAAGATTCAGCTGTACACTAGGACCTGAAGAACAAAGGGCACACTTTTGAAGCCCAATGTTTTTTTTTAGATTTTGGACACAGAGGACATATGGTTCGAGAGAGGGGACAAGAAAAGTTTTCTTTGTGAAAGGAGAAAAACCATCTCTGAACAGAGGGGGAGGATTGCGGTTTCAGCTTCTAAGCATTTACAAATCAATCATGGAACTAATTCCTACAAGATTACATCGGCACTTCCATTATAATTTAAAAGACCAATCATATAGCCCATACACAACAAAAGGCTCCAACAATCCAGGAGATCAAGGGTATGGCTATTTGATTTGCATCTTACTTTGAATGTGCTTAGGAGTATAAACCTCCATGTTGTTTAAAAACATCAGTGCTCCAGCTAAGAATTTCTCGGATGCGAGTCAACAGAATGGACAAAGACCCCTGGAAAGGTGTCCAAACTGAGAGAAAGTCTGGTTTCCTTCCAATTTATGCCTGTTTTGTGGGTGCCATGAGTCGACTGACTGAGAATTTACACAGGCATGTTTGTTCTGAACTTAAGGTGCAAACATACAGTTTACAAATAAAATGTGTTTTCATTATTATTAGGTACCACAGTGATAAATTTCATATAAAGAGTAAACATAATTTTGCATTCTTCTACGAAACAATACATATTTCATTTAACATGCATAATCCATGTGCTCTTGTATTTTTAGGACTGCCATCTATGGTCCTCATACTTTGGGTTCTGACCAGATTCTTCTATGATGACAGAGGGTATCATAAACTTTATCTTCCTAATTTATGTTAGATATGTTAAAGGAGCTCAAGTCATACTCAGCTGAATTCAGTTTGCCTTTTATTGCAGCTGCTGGGATGACAATGACAATGTTGGCATTTGGTGGATCATTAAAGGACCAATAACAGCATCACTGCTGGTGAGTAAGAGCTGTGAACATTTAATTGTATTTTTTATTGTAATACAGTTTATTTGCTTTACTTGTTTGGTTAATTGTCTATGCTGGTTCAGGCATGCTTTTATTCTGAAGCTTTACTTGTTAAATAAACTATTCTTAGGGGTGGCATTTCAAGTGAGGTTCTATGAAGTTACAATTGGTAATTTTTGTAATAGGCATTTTTCGTTAGTAATCCATTAGTCCGTTAATGTAGGTTAGTATTAAACTGCCTTGGTTTTGAAATGTTCAAAAGTGCTAAAATGAGCTAAAGTGTGACTCTGGGATTACACTCATCTGCGAATACAGATTGTTAACTGTCTAAAACAGATTAGGGAACTATTAACAATGAACCTACCATGAAGCAAACCTTTTATATTACATGGCAATGGCCAAAATATCATCTTTAGTTTTTCCTTAAGAAAAGAGATTTGCATGTAGCTAAATTTTCCTACATTGTGGGAAACAATGACCACATAAATAAACATATGCTGCATGTATATGTGTATATACACTACTCAAAAAAAATAAAGGGAACACATAAAACACACAATATTAATGACCTTCAGGAGTCCAAGAATGTGCCTGCATCTGTACAAACGGTTAGAAACCGACTCCATGAGGATGGTATGAGAGCCCGATATCCTCAGATGAGGGTTGTGCTCACAGCCCTACGTAGTGTGGCACGCTTGATACAAAACATTTCAAGGCTATTTCACCACTGGTACCCTGTGATCTTCATGGATAAAAGCAGGTTCACACTGCGAACATGTGACAGACGTGACAGAGTCTGGAGACACCGTGGAGAGCAATCTGCTGCCTGCAACATCATTCAGCATGACTGGTTTGGCAGTGGGTCAGTAATGGTGTGGGGTGGCATTTCTTTAGAGGGCCACACAGCCCTCCATTTGTTCGCCAGAGGTAGCATAACGGCCATTAGGTATCGAGATGAGATCCTCAGACCCCTTGTGAGACCATAAGTTGGTACGGTTGGCCCTGGGTTCCTCCTAATGTAGGACAATGCTAGACCTCATGTGGCTGGAGTGTGTCAGCAGTTCCTGCAAGATGAAGGCATTGAAGCTATGGACTGGCCCTCCCCTTCCTAAGACCTGAATCCAATTAAGCACATCTGGAACATCATGTCTCGATCCATCCACCAACGTCAGTTTGCACCATAGACTGTCCAAGAGTTTGTGGATGCTTTAGTCCAGGTCTGGGAGAAGATCCCTCAGCAGACATCCGCCTCCTCACCAGGAGAAATCCCCCACCTCACCAGGAACATGTTACCTATAGTAATGTGGAGACCACACAGAATACTGAGCCTAATTTTGACCTCTTTTAAGGACATTACATCAAATTTGGATTAGTCTGTAGTGTGTTTTTCAACTTTAATTTTGTGTGTGACTCCAAATCCAAGACTTTGATTGGTTAATACATTTCATTTCCATTGATGATTTTTGAGTGATTTTGTTTTTAGCACATTCAACTTTTTACAGAACAAAGTATTCAAAGGGAACATTTCAATCATTCAGATCTAGGGTGTTATTTAAGTGTTCCCTTTATATTTTTTAGCAGTTTGGTGTTTTATTAAATGCTATATGTTCCACTGAAATTACCACAACCGAAGCAGTACAACAGGGAATCAGTTTACAAGAGACAACATCCATGGTAGAATGGTGGTATCTGAACTATAAAGAGGTGGCATGTAGGGAAAAGTTGCTAAACAGTTTTGCTGGTAAATATCCACAGCAATTTGAACCATCTTCACCCATCTTCTGTTGTATGTTTTCGGTTAGCAAACTCATAAATTTAACTCAGAAATTAAGGTGCATTTAAATAAAAACAAAAACATGGATGTGGGTAAGAAGCTTCACACTAAAAGATTATTTAATTTTTGTTTAAAAACTTATTGATATTGATTGGTTTGTACATATGTTTCTGACAGGTCAACATAGTCATCTTCATAAATGTCATCCGGATTCTGGTCCAAAAGCTTAAATCTTCAACCACTGCAGGAAACAGTGATACTGGTCATTTCATGTAAGTCTCAACATTCCAGCATGATAAGTTAATAAAGAATTGAATAAAGAATCTATTAACACAACATAAAAGAAAAATCTTTCAAAACAGGATTATTCAGGCTAAAGGGATAAGTCCAGAAAAAAACAGAACAAAAATATATGCACATATTCATATATTTATGATAAAGAAATTGAAGATAAAGGAAAATTTTTTTTATTCAAGTATTCAAATACCTTTTAGTATTGATTCATAAAAAGTATGACAAGAAGGGGACAAGGTGAATATATTTCTAACAAATGAAGCGCTTTTTTTCTGCAGTTTAATCTGGAGGATGTTGTAAACAATGTACAACCCAGAAATCCTGCTTCTACTAAATCAATGTTTTCCCTGTATTGGCAGTTCAGCTAGTGCAGATTTGTGCTGAGCTGCATTCATCTCAAAAGAGAGCAAATATAAATAGCATCCAGATACTAGAAATAGATGACTCTTTGATCGCTATGAGACAGAATTGTTTCACCTATTCAATGTTTAAAATCTCTGTTTCTGTCTTATCTTTTTGAGGTGGATCAGAGACATGAGAACAAAAAGCTCTGAAACCCTAGGCTGACAACAGAATAACACAATCCTGGAGCAGTCACGTTTAATACCTTCTCTTTAATGCTTTCAGGGACTGGTGAGATAGCCAACAGCAAATAGATTTTGTTTCTTTAGTAAGCCATAAAAAAAAAAAAACTTGTAATCTGATCTATTAATTCAGACACATCTGCTCAGGCTTACCTTTAGCTCTTTTTTATTGGCTTCTCATTAAATAGAACATCTGACTGCTGTTTCACTGACTTAAAGATAAAGTCAGCCTTTGTAAAAGAATCAGATTCAAACAACATGATCTACAGGAAGCTTATTAGAAGTCAAACTTATGATGTTATTTAATTACCACGATATAATTTTCTTAGAAGATGTTAAGGTTAATATAAAGACTGTGATAAATAAAATGTACTTTACCCCAGGAAAACCTAAAAAACCCTTAAATAACAAAGACTTCAGATTAGAACAAATGTTAAAGCTAAGACACACGACAACTGTGGCTAAATATGAAATTTGTGGATTTGAGTCCAACTTTCTGCTGTTACATTTATTGCTACTTTAGGTGACTTGAACCCCAACCAACCACTGATCTGTCATATTGGTACATGAATGTCTGTGAATTTGTAAATGTGATTGGGTGTTTATAGGATTAAGTGGTCTGTATGGCTAGAAGTGCTATACAGATTCACTGCATTTAACATGTAAACCTTTTTTTTATTATTATTATTATTTTTTGCTGTAAAATCTGTTCATCATTTGTTTTTGCATCAGGCGGCTGGCTAAATCCACCCTGTTCCTCATTCCTCTGTTTGGGATGCACTACACTGTATTTGCCTTCCTGCCTGAGAACACTGGAGTGGCCGCCAGGCTGTACATCGAGCTGGGCCTGGGATCCTTTCAGGTATACGAATAAAGACATATATCACTCTAGGGCTGCAACAACGAATCGATAAAATCGATAAAAATCGACTTTTAAAAGCGTTGGCAACGAATTTAATCATCGA